TAGCACCACCCAGTATGCATATGAGTAACTGCGAAAGATGGATGATTAGAAATCTTCGAAATGAAATCACGCGCCATGGTTAGTCACGTGACAAAATGAGGTGATACGTACGTCTAATAGAGCATGTCGGAGGGCGGCTTCGTCGCCGACGACGTTTAAATGATTCAAACCGTACTCCACGTGATAGATGACCAATTCAACCTTGGCACAAGAAGCGACGCCGGCCAACGCATCACCAACATTTTGGATCACCTCGCCGATATCAAATTCGCGCTTGACGTTGGACCTTTCGCACTTGTCGGGATCGGAGAACAGCAGTACCGAGAGGGTGCCCAGGTGAGTGGAGACATAGTTCACCTCCTTGAGAATCGTGTGAATGGCATTGATCGAGGTGGTGGGCGTTGGTATGGAACAGGCGGATAGTTGTTCGTGCGGTTTGGAGAGGAAGTGAGGTGGGGACAATTGTTTCAGGGTGCCCATGGCCAGTTCGGTGGTTTGACGCAAGATGTCGGAGATGGCGCGAAGGTACAAGCCTTTGCGCTCGCTGAAACGATCGATGGCTCGGTAGACGGAGCTTTGAGCATTCTTACGTTCCACCTTGAGCAACGCTTGCTTACGGAACTTTTCTTTTTGATAGGCGTCGAGGAAGTGTTCGATCATTATGAAGAAGGGCAAGCTCAACACGGAACCGTAAAATAGCACGCTTGTGACAGAGGGAACATCGGGCGAGTGAGTCAAAGAGTGAAGATGATGTCTCCGCACGGGGATATTGGACAGACACTGAATGATGGTCATGAATAGAGATGTTTTTTTGGCGCAAGTGCTGGTGATTCCTAAACCCGCAGGTCCGAGAAGATTCCTCAATGCTTTGCACACGACCACGAACAAGATTGTGGTGGACCCCGTTTACATGCCCATCGCGACCTCACCGATGAGTCCGGGTACCCCGTGCACGAACGAATCATACCTCGCTAACGGCGTCGAAGTCAATCCGATGGAACATATCGGTGAACAACCCAATAACTATTTTCCTCCCGATGCATCCAGTGCGGTCCTACGTTCAAACACTCCTTCACCTTCGAACAGCAACGTTCCACGACCGGTGGTTAACTCTAACGGTAGTCCGTCGAGTCCCCGTGGCATAGTAATCTTTCCGAGACCGTCAAGAAGTGCCGAGGGTCGTACAAGTAAAATCGTGGGGAAAAGTAATTCGGCGTCAACCACTCCCATCATTTACACAAGCTCAACATCCAGCAGAATCTTATCTAACAACCAATCTCCGGGAACTTTGTCACCCACGTCCGGTCTACCACCCACAAATTTCTTCCCAGAGATTCCCACTGCTGTCCCCGCCTCCGAGTCACCCAGCGTCCTGCCCAACGCGCCGATGCCAACCTCACCTCAACCGACGACTCCCGCACAACAACCTTCGACCGCCACGCAGAATCAATCGTCGCATCGACGAAAGGCGAAACCGGCTGCCAATCGTTTATTTGGCGTCATCCCTCCGATTAACGTGTTGATAGTGGAAGATAATCCGATCAATCAGACAATCCTGTCGACGTTCATGAGAAAGAAAAAGATCAAATTCGAATGTGCTGCCAACGGACAAGAGGCCGTGGAGAAGTGGCAGAAGGGGGGATTCCATTTGGTGTTGGTATGTATCATCGCAAAGACTCATCGTGGTCACATTTATTTGCTTCTTGAAAGTCGTCATGTCCACGCCGATGACTAAAATGTATACACGCTTTTCCACGTCACAGATGGATATCCACATGCCGGTGATGGACGGAATCGAGGCTACAAAAACAATACGACGACTAGAAAAATCACAGAAGATCGGTGTTTTCCCACCCACACCTCCGGCACAGTCGGCACCATCCTCGGCATCATCCACACCCGCATCGACTCCATCGCAACAAGACCCGCCCGACAATCGATCACCGGTCATCATAGTGGCGCTCACGGCTTCTTCCTTATCGTCAGACAAGCAAAACGCTTTGGCGGCGGGATGCAATGATTTTCTCACCAAACCGGTGAGCCTCGAGTGGCTTGAAAAGAAGATAAACGAGTGGGGTTGCATGCAAGCGTTGATCGACTTTGATGGGTGGAGAAAATGGAAGAAAGGCGGCGAAGAGACGGTTTCCAAATCGGACGAAAAGAAATCGAGGACAAGCAAATCTTCAGGACCATCGGGTGATGAAAACAAGAAGGGTGCTACTGCTACCGAAAGAAGTGGCGTCGTTCGGAGACAATCGGGATCAGCCAAAAGCAGCGATACTAGCATTGGTAGCATTGGTAGTAGCAGTAGCAGTCACGGTGATAGCGGTCAAGGTGACAATGTAAAAGATAAAGAATCATCAAATCTTGGAAATGTTTTGACAAAGGAGGACAATGCGATTTCCGAATCACCTATACCATTGAAAGATATACCGGAATCGCATAATTCGGTCACCACAAAAACTGGAAACGGGTTTATACCCACCTCTCCAACTGGCCACGGCACGACCCATCGGTTCTCATCGAATCCGGTATCGCCGAGATCTCACTTGATGCAACGTAGTTCAAGCGGCGGACTCATCACTCCAACACATTCCAATGATGCAGTACCTCCGAAATCTTCTGAAATTTTGGTCAAAGATCATAGTGGTGACTATGACATATCATCATCAATTTCCATCATAAATTTTACTGACTCTGCGATTGCCAATAATGCCACGTCACCACCATCCACGTCGATAGACACGCCACCGCGCAACAGTGAACCATCACAAAAGAGGTTTGGTCGAAAACGGGGAAATACATTTTCTTCGTCGTTAACGGAAGGCCTTTGATAAATACCCAATTTGATGATGGAAAAACAAAAATACTTTGTAATTAATTGGGGTTTGTTTTTCGAAAAAGATGAACTAAGAAAGCCTGTGGGAAACCGAAGCACCGTGAACCTCCTTGGCTTTCCGCTGTGACAGTTATCATATATTTAAATGATTATTTGCATAAAACATAACGGTTCTCATCAAAAAAAAAAAAAAAAAAAAAAAAAAAAACCCCCAAAAAAAATAAGCTTGTATCAAAGGAGCTAAAATCTGTACAAATTTATACATATATATATCTCCCCAGTAAAAACAAAAAAGAAAAAAATTTTTTTTTATTATTTACTACACTACACCTTTATCAACAAGAAGAAAAAAATTAAAATTAAATAATACAATAGTAATGCCGAAATACTTTGTACAGTAGTGAATACAGGTATAAAGCGAAGTTCAATATATATATATATATATGTGTGTGTGTTGTATATATATTAATGCTATATTTTATTTCATTAAAGAGAGTAGCAATATTAAATTGAACAACTGATGTAAATTCTACATTTATTTCTAATATACAAAAACCCCGACGCTTAAAGTATCTAAGCATATCTGAATACAACGAATGAACATCACAAAGTATCCTTTTGATGCATTATAACCATTCTCAAAGCTTCTTTTGTCGTTAAACTACACTTTGGTCGATTGAGCCTTTTCCGCGGCCTCTTTTGGTGTTCTCGCTTCTATGGACAATGCATGTAGACCTGCCTTTAGTTCTTCGTCTAACAGCTGATAGATGATTTGATGCCGTTGCAAAAGTGTCTAGGATTTTAAAGCGAATTGATGTTATTTCAGGAGGTAACGAACGCAGATTCGAGGGAAACTTTTGTGGCACACACCTTTCCTTCAAAATTCTCCGAGACCACAGATACTCTGGGTTAAACAGACGGAAGCCATTCCGTAAAAATCAAAACGATTATAATGAAACAGTGAAGCTAACAAGGCTAACAATACTGAATGAAGTATTGTATTTGAAATTGAGTTTCTAGAAAATTAATTCTTTTTTTTAATACCTAAAATGAGTTTCGCTATTATCACTCGCTACATAATGAGAGGCGTGTGCAGCAGAATTGTTTTCAATATCCAAAGACGCTGGTTGCAAGGAATCTGTCAACTACGTGTCGGAGTACATATCGGGTAAAATGTTGAGTCGATAGTTTTGAACTTATTAACGTTAAAAAAAAAAGAAACCTTTCGTCGAATGCTTGTATACACGGGACCTTCCTCCATTCTTGGGGTCTGGTGAAAAAATGCTATGCGTGATAAAACTGAGAACCGAGTCGCACGATTCATCTAAAATGCCCACGTATCTTTGATTGGACGATTTTATATAAATTTCTACAATTTGATCGCTAAGGCCTCATGTGACTTACAGCATACAGAGTATTAAGTTACGACATACAGTAATGGTTTTTTATCTATTTAAGTTTCTTGCTATAAATATTAATACCAAATCATAATTTTCCAGTAAAGAGAAAGTGAAATATCATCTTCTAAGTTGCATCTAGAATCTCATATACAAGATATTATACAATAAAAACAAGTCATACCAATTTTCTTAATTTGAATAGTTCTTATACAGTATATTATAACAAAAAAATTTTTTTATTGAATAATAAATTAATATTACAATGATCTATTATACAATGATCAAGACCTATGGGTCCATAGTGCAGTGATTAGCATTCTGTAGGTCAGATCACAAGAAACGAGTTCAAATCCTAGCATGAATTCATTCATTGGCTTAATTATATATATATATATATATTTTTTATAATAACCCTCTGTCAGGTTAGTTAAGTGTGCTTTATTAAACCTTTGTAAACTATACATAAAAATGTGTC